CACAACACGAATAGCTACTTCACCAGCGCCTGCTTCTTTTTTCTTAAGAAAATTGTTCACTCTTGTTTCAATATATGTACCTAATTTTGTAATAGCCAATTTTTTAGCATTGAATTTATGTTCTTTTCGTTTTTCACCACGTTTTTTTAAACAATTATCACAAACATATCCTTGTGGATTAATATTCTCATTGTGCAGCACACATATTTGATGGAGTTTTCTTCCACAATGAGTACACAATATGAATGGTTCCAATTCTAGATGATCATTTTTCATTTCCACAAATTGTTCTTTTTTAATTACTTGTTGGGCTTGTGTAGGGTCTTCGCCCAATGTTACAGCATCACCAGGTATATCATTAAAGCATTTAACACAATAAATATATCTATTTTCAAAACTGAAGTACTTAGCATCTCTTGGAATAGTACACAATTGTTTTCCAAAACAACAAAGTACTTGTGGATTGAATGTGTACTTACGACCACAACAATAACCAAGACTTCTCATAACAGGGTAAATTTCTTGTTCAAAAACTTCTGAAAGTTTTGTACATGATTTATACACTTTTGTAGACTTCTTATTGTAATGCCAAGCATTTTCAAACATTAACCAAACATCATCAACATAACTCCAAGGGTCAGTAAATTGACCAGTATTTAGTTTTTCTCGAATTGTTGATAAATCCATTGGCTTTTTTATGATTATAAAATAGTCGGGTATATTAAGCGCTTGAGGATCAACAGGCTGTTTAAAAGGATCTGATTCAGGTTCTTGTTTGTATAACTTTTCAAGAGTAGGCATTAGGGCTTGCCTAAGTTCGTCAGGCCTAAATACACATTTCTTTATGGCTGTTTTACTGTCTGATGTAGTTGGTTCAAACGGTTTAATATCTGTAGTGATGTTTGATTTAGGACTCATAGGTTCATCTTTAACATTAACTTCCATTTTCTTTGAATTTAAAGTATTATCATCTCGTTCTTGTTTGATCTCAGTTTTTATAGATACCGAGGGTGTTTCAGAATTCATTTTACCTTTTCCATATGCGCCTTTTCCGTCATTACTATCGTCATACTCGTCTTTTACTTCTCCTTTAACGTCTTTGGGAGAGTCATCTTGTGCTAAAGCAGAAGCAATAGCATTCATTTGACTCGAATGACTAATTGATGATGGTTCTGATCTAGGATATCCTTTACCCATACTATTGGGCATCATTGAAGGTACACTTGTAGTAGATGGCACAGTAGTATTGGAGATCAAACTAGGTCCATTAACCATTTTGTCCATGTTCATTTGATTAAGTCTATTTGGTTGTAACATTTGATTGTTCAAGAGTTGTTGTTGTTGTTGTTGTTGTTGTTGAACTTGTTGTTGTACTTGTTGTTGTTGTTGTACTTGCTGTTGCTGAACTTGTTGTTGTTGCTGTTGCACTTGTTGTTGCTGTTGCACTTGTTGTTGCTGTTGAACTTGTTGTTGTAAATGTATTTGTTGTGGTATTTGATTCATTGATTGATTTGAAAATTGAGGTTGAGCGAACGAAGATTGAGATATGTTTGACATCATAGGTGAGTTAGATGGGAACTGACTAGTGTTGATTGGACTTTGGGCAGGAGGCTGGGTCAAACCAAAAGTAGTTTGTGGTAAATTTGTATTTGGACTTGGTCCAGGTACAGGTGAAGTGATTGGAAAATGCACCCTATCTGTCAACTGTGTTTTCATTAAACCAGAGGTTGTTACTACTTGTTGTTGTGGTAAATTTTGCTGGTTAGGTTGAATTGGAGTATGATGTAAAGGTTGTTGCTGCTGTGATTGTGGTGGTTGCTGCTGATTAGGCAATCCTTGTGTAGACGCAGTTGGGAAGCACTGTGCATTGATATTACTTGTTGGTGGCTGAGGAGTCCCCATTTGCTGCTGTTGCATTTGTTGTTGTTCTTTTCGCTTTTGCATTTTTTCTTCCAACTCTTTCTGTATTTTATAAAATGTTTGGGCTAACCTATGATAATATTCCGACCTAGAGTTAGCAACATTGTACATATCACCTTCAACTTTTCTAGCATAAGCCACTAAATTATTCATACGTTTATCAAGCATTGCTTTAGGATCATATGTTGGGAAAATTGCTTGAACTAATTTATGCACTAAATGATTTCGTAGTTCAGGTGTAATAGACTCATGCCATTCTTTACTTTCAATGTGATTTCCTGGCATTGATTGAGTTGGTTGTGCTTGATTGTTCATCTGAGTAGTCATTGTGTCGGTACTAGTTGTCATTATGAAAGAATTAGGTATATTTGTCGCAGGTTGTTGAATGCTAGATGGAACAGGTACAGTTGTGTTCGAAGCAGACTGCAGCATTTCATTAACAGTACTTGTGCTGGGATCTGCACTCATTGTAGTTGTTACCTGGGGTTGTGAATGTGGAACTAATACTCGTGTGTTTTGATTAGGTGTCAGCACATTGTTATTAGGAGGATGTGGCATTTGAGATTGCAAAGCCGTTCGTATACCAACATTGTTAGGGACTCCCTGTACTTGGTTCACTTGATTATTTACAGTGTTATAACAATTCATATCGTTCATTCCAGTAGTATTTTGAGTATTGTTATTTGCTAAAGCATTGCGATTATTTGATGCTTTTAATGGTTGGCAAATAGGACAATCTGGTCTAGTACATTGTTTCCAATGTGATATTATTTGTCTAGACGATGAACAGTGAGCTACATTACAATTTCGACCAGCTATGCAATTTGTCATATGAGCCAAGACCCCTTTCATTGTATTACAATGTTGCAAACGRCACTGTCTCACTTCACCATTAGCTTGATTATCTCTTCTTTGACATTGATGAGCATGTAATAATAGAACAAGCTGTTGGGTTATCATTTTTCGTTTCTCTGGATTTGCTTGACTACGGTCGGCGGGGACTCCTTGAGGTGGTACAACTACATTTTGATTGACCATATTAACTTGCTGTGGTCCGAGACGTACATTTGTTTGAGACTGGGGAGGAACCGGAGTATCCACTAGCATTCCATTAGTATTGGCATTAAATCTCGGTACTTGTTGCCGTACAATACCAATTGGTTGTTGTTGGACTACATTAATTTGTTGATTATTTTGGTTGTATGCATTGAAATTATTCACTGGACTCATTGCACCCATTGGAGCTTGTAACCTATGAGAATTAATTGACAAACTATGAAGTTGATGAGGAGTCTGRTTACGAATTTGTTGTGGATGATGCATGGCTATGTTCCTTCCCATCATAGGTCCATTTTGTTGTTGCTGTGATATGCCATGATGAGGATTGTGCATGGAGTTACTAACCAAATTGTTTCCCATCATAATATTTACATTTGCCACATTTATTCCACTAATACTGTTTTGTAATTGGTTGGAATTTATGCCTGCATTTCCCATATTAACTACCATTGGCTCTCCAGTTTTACTAACTAAAACATTTGGTGATGGCATGTTTGGATTAATTGGTTTATTCATAGACATTCCAGCCCCTGACACAAGATGTTTAGTACCCATAAAATGGTGGGCTAACTGATTTTGACTGACTACTAGTCGTTGTTGGATATTAGGTTGCTGAAGTTGTTGAGGATTATTTTGCTGAACAATCATACCATTTTGCAATGGTAATTGAGGACCAAGATTTTGCTTGATATCAGGTTGTTGGTTCCAAGACGTAGTGCTAATAAGCTCATCGGGGAGATCATTCTCGAGATCAAACATCTCATTGCTAGAATAGACACCAGATGAGTCAGAAGACCCTTGGAATGGATCTTCCAACTTTGGCCTCTTGTTCGGAGGGCTATCCACCAATAGGTCTGACATATTTAGTCTTAGAATTTAAAAACAGATAAGACCTAGTAAAAAGTTACTAGTATCAATAATCACATATTAAAAATTGCACAATGACCTAAACTTATTTTATAATATTTCAAATTCTTAAAAACTCAAATCGAGAAACTAAATAATTAAACATAGTTAAGTCACATAATTAAGCAGTATGTGATATCACCAAACAGTAATATGGGCCATGTTATGCTAAGTTGTAGGCTGATTATTGAAGATTTCATTTGTAGTTATCTATTTTCAGCTTGATTTTTGCATGTTTAAAATTCTTTATGACTGATAAATGGTTCAACCTAAAATAAATACATTAAATTAATAATTAATACATCTTATAGCTTATAGGTATAGACAGGTTTTATGATTATGAAAAATAAACAAAAAACAATATGTACCTATATAGAGAGAGAGAGAATATTGGCAAGAGATGTTTTTCATAAATCAATTTATCATTATGTTATAATGTCTATATATATATTTCAATTTAATAGATACTGAACTTTGAATATTTTGTATTTATTTTAAGTGTAAAATAAACCGTTAT